TTCGCCTTGCGATGTATCAAAACGATATTTAACGGAACCGAACACAATCAGGTCACATGAAAGTCAAGGCATGAACCTGCATTTGTGCCAGTTGTAGGAATTGATGGAACAAACGATGTCCTGATGAAAATGTAGCAATTTTAAAAAGCCTATCAGAAGGACTGTTATTGTTTTAATGTGATGTGTCAACCTAAAATAAAGCGGCAACATCAGCATATCATTGGTGTTAGAACATCATCCGCAATGCATAAATTTCTTCTTCCGTGTTCTGTGACGGCCACTGATTAACTTAAGCCTTCTGTCTGATAAGCAAAGGAATATCCGAGTCCATCACCAGATGTAGAAAAGCTGAACTCTAATCTAGTCAGCACCTGCTATAAACTCTTCGGCACTAAACCACCGACAAAACAATTAGTAACCGCACAACACCGGGACCGTTTGAGGGAGTTGAAGGAAAACCGAGATGTTATTCTTTCGAGACAAAACGAAGGGGCTGGAATAGCTCTTTTAAATATATCAAACTATATCAACAAAATGAACAGCGTACTCATAAAATAGCTGAAGAGAAAGATAAAACAGAACAAATAGAAGGGTCAATGTCGAAAATGCTCAGGCGTCTAAAACACAGGGACGTAATAGACACTGCCACATTTGAACAACTCCGACCAACTGGAACGACGATCCCGATACTTTATGGTTTACCAAGGATACATAAAAATGGAGTGCCCCTCAGATCGATTTCAGACGTATGTAACGCCCCATGCCATGCCTTGGCTAAGTGGCTGGTAGGGATTCTGAAACCCTCGAGCGCACAGCTTGCCAATCACTCATTGAGGGATTCTTACGACTACGTTGCTAGGATTAAGGACGCAAACATGGTCACTGACAGTAGGCATCTGTCAAGACTCTTGAAAGTATTTATTGCAGCTCATCCAAACATTAAGTTTACTCAAGAGAACAAAGAGAATAAGCAGCTTGCATTTCCGGACCTTCTACTAAGCCGTTGATCAGACGGGACTATCCAACGTGTTATTCACAGGAAGCCATGGCGGAATAATTAGTATTCCCTCTTCACAAACCATGTGCCTTTGGAACGAAAAAGAAACTTGATTCATTGCTTCGTTACCAGGGCGCTGAGAGTATGCACGGACGATACCATTGATTTATAATTGAGGTTTATTTGAGGTATTTTTCTTCAAAAGGGATACCCAGACCTATTTGTAGACAACATTTTGGGTCGTCACCGGTTGCTAAATAAGACCACTACTGCGGAGAAGAAACCGGTCTACAAATTGCTACCTTTCAAGGGTGACACACCTTCCGATACTCAAAATAAAATGCGATAAGCGAAACAAGCTGTCTTTCGATAAATTCATCAACTGGCAATTTACATTCATATAAGTAGAACATTTAATATTACTTGAGCCTGTACGCCGTGGATGTTTTTACCCTGTGTACAAATCGATGCTAAATGCGTCAACAATTTGATTGAGCTTCCCCTTTGGTTACGACGTTCTTCCATTTACCCCGCTCGCATCGGTTGGTTGCTTGGTGACTGGCCATGATGGAAAAATAATGTCTGGACGAAAAGCTTCTGATTGCATAGCGGGTGTCAAACAGTTTGATCGCAAAAGCTTCAGCCGTGCATAGAAAGATAAAGTGTACAGATTTAGATGATAACGGTGGAATACGATAAACGGTTTTGGACGCTCCACTTAAGTCCACTTGGTAATTACTTTCTTTTAGGTGTTGGCATATCGCGCTTCTCGCTTTCCCCGTTTCTCCGTATGTTAACCATCGAGGGTGATGTTCCCATATTCTCTTTGACAATTGTCTTGTAGCTCGCTCCACATGAGCCATTAAACAAATAGATGCATATTTTCTTTTACATTTCGGGATTGAAATCGCTTGAGCTCTCTTCTTGTCACTGATGGGACAATCTTGATCCACAAATCACACAAAAGTTTGTTTTTGGTTCTAGAAAAGTGAAAACACAAATGAAGCCAAAATCCAGAGCAAGACAGACTACGTCGATGCCAAATCTCCGATGGATCAGGAAAGTCATGTACTGGTGGTTATTTTGGGATCGCTGGCTGGTGTTCTGTTGGTGATTTCGTTGGCACTGATTGGTCTCTGCATATGGTACCATTTGAGAACCAAACGTTTGGTATATCAGGGTAAGTTTCGTGGATGTGTTGTAATTGCTTGGATGTCTAATTCATTGTTGAAGATACATTCCCCACTAAATGTACATACAGTCCGTTATTGTACTACTTTTCGGAGCCGCTTAAGTAAATAAACTATATTGAAGAGAAACATACTTTCAGAATTCATTGCCCTTTGAGAGGTTTTGAGATATGAATTGAACCGGAAGAGTGGACACCGAGGTTTGGGTGGGTTTAAGGAGGATGATTTACCTTGTCCGATTCCGTTATTAAGTTGTGGACGTATTTGATGTTTTGTAGGTAAACATTCAGCTCACTGAATGGTTTGGTTCACTAGATATAGCTAAGGTATCAGCAAAGTGAATTATTATTTTTCACGTTTAGTGATGCATTGTGGGGATTTGTGGATTTGTAACTTACATATCTGGTATTTGCGTTGAAAAAGGTGTATCGCACATGTTTCAAACCATGGGTTTGTTGAAATCAAGTGGGCGGAATCGGAAACGTATCTCACCTGTTATGTATTTTTCAAAGTTCGTTTCCTAGAAGGTCATTTTACTGGCTATGCCATTCCGAAGTTTTCGAGTACTGGATTCTCAGTTCCAATCATGGCAACTGAAAACGGAATTAATGTGAGTAAGCCACCAATCCAAATCCCCACTGGATAAAAACAAAGACCGTGNCCGTGGCATTTCACATGACTGTTGATGTCGTTTGACAGCAGAATTTGACTAATTGTAAACATAAACTTAATACGTCTGCTTCCTAGTGATCGATTAAACATATGCACACGAGTATGTATTCTTTAAGTATTCATAAAACAAATCACAGCTGCTGTGTACCTGTTAGTAAATATTTTTCGTTCAATCCTCTGAATAACTATCTCATACCTCATGCACTTTGTTGACCTCAAAACGTTGCTTAACTCATACTAATCCCAAAAGCCTGAATATATATATATAACCACTGAATGCTCCCGACAAACTGACCACACACATGATTTTTATACATTCCGGTAGGTCAGAACACAAGTCCGAAGGTAAATAATTGTTTTCAAATGATTCGTAATCGTGCCTATGAGGATTTGTTCTTAATGGAAACACCTTTTCACGCTGGGTTGAAAGAGCAGTCGGAATCGGGAGAGGGCTGGGGAGAGTAAGCCCTATGTATCTGTGTTCAGATAAGATTGACCGTGATTGGAGTGTTGATGGTGGTGGTGATGATGATCAATTAGGAGCCATTCTAAGCGGAGAGTTAGAACCAGTCACTTTTCTGCACATAATTGTAGTGCAAAAAGATGAACGCCTATCTCCCCAGGGGTGGTTAGTGTAAGTGCCTTAGAGGGGTTGCGGGGGGAGACACAATAGATTACGGTAAAAGCGGATTCTGGTCTAATTCGATGGCCTGTATCCACGGGTTGCGTTGTAGGTCGGCTTTACTGCACTCATCAGACGTTTGTTCAAGAGGTCCGATATAGCATATCCTTGAAAAAATAGACGGATGAATAATTTCTTCTTTTGATCCTAATAAACCTGTTCGGATTGTGGTCCTTCCGGAAAGTTTCTCGCGATTCAGGATAACCGTTTTCTCCGAGAAAGTCTGATACATTGTCAAAACAGAACATTGCCCACGCTGGTTAAAACAAGAAGGAACGGAGAGCATAGAAAGCGCCATTCATAGTCATCTAGTTAGTCCAACAAGTATAGGAACAGTCTAGATATCAAGTTTTTTTGGAGAGCCAATAGAGGATAGGAATGCATCTGAGTTATTGATTGATTAAATAGATCAATTTTTGACCATCTTATTACTCTGACGGTTTGTAGTAAATGATCTTTGAACGTTAAAAATATGAGCACTGGACAACAAAAGGACTCTAATCTGAGAAGAAGAGATGATAAAGTCGAACGCAGGAGGCCGATCAAAGAATATATACANATATATACAAACAACAAAGAAATTTGGCAATGAAGAGAACAACGGAATACACCATATATAAGGTTGACCTGTCTGTTGAATGTGCACATGGGGAAGGACTATGATGAAAAGGCACAAACGAACGTGGATGATTGTCACTAGCAAGTTTACAAAGCAATCGTAAGTGGTCAAAAATGATTAAACAAACTGTTTGAAGTGAATGTTATAGAGATGGAGACACCAGTTCTGTTAACAAGAGC